TGCGAACAGGAGGTGAGAGGGAAGGTAACGGAGGCCCCACAAACGAAGTGTGAACCTCTCTGTTCTCTGAGGACATCCTCAGTAAGAAGCACCCCTGTGGGTTAAGACAGCTTTACGGGGAGATGGGGCCGGAGCAGAGGAAGAGACTCAGCCAACCCGACTTAACGTTCCTGTTCTTTGTACTTGGCTTGACAACAGGAAGTTTACTTCCTTACTGATAGCGTTAACGGAAGGCGGACAAAATAACTTCAGGGGTATGAACTGCTCCTGGACAGCTTCGCTCCAGGCGTCGCGGACGGGCCGGTTCTCTCTCTCTCTCCTTGCGATTCCCGGAGCCCCCGGTAAAGCCGCCCAACCCCCACGGAGCCCCCAGTGCTACGTGTGCCGAGGTCCACCTCTTCAGCTCTTCTTTGTCTCTTTCCAGGCCCGGAAGCAAAACTCGTGCTGTGCGATCATGTGACAGCGGCCGGCAGAGGCCCCTGCGCTGGAACGCCACCGTCACTCACATCGGAACTGCAGCCCCCAGGGAGCAGACCCACCGTGGAACGACCCGAGTGGGACAGACTCAACTTTGGCTTTGGAGCTCGTGGGAGGAACCGAAGGGTGGAAGGGACCTGGGGGTGGGGAACGTTCAGATTCACATGTCTAGTAATTTGAGGCCCCCTAAACGTGTATTTTGGGGCCGAATGAAACCATAAAGCTCAGTGACTCCTGTAGATGCTGCAGGGCTCGTTTCTAACCCCCTGGGAAGGACGTGTGCAAGGCCCACGGCGGGGTCAGAGCCGGCTCTTTGTTGATCGTCAGTACACCTTTGGGTTTTATCTGTACGCTAGCTGTGTTAACAGTCCAGTGAGTGGGGTGCCCTGACTACAGGGCTGGGGTGGGACAGACAGCCACTGCGGGCGCAGTGGGCGTGGGGGGTGCCGATGGGGGCTCGGGCCAGCGTGTCCATGTCGGGAGGAGACAGCCACTGGGCTTCACAAGTTCTGAGACCTTGTTTGCGCTCCTGCTGAGGTTGACTTTCTGCAGTGCCCGTCCAGCGAGCTCCAAAGAGATGCCTTGGAAGTTCGGGAGGGGCGCCTGCCCGGACTTGCGGTCTGGCTTTGAACATCTGGATCATAGCAGGGTGTGCTGTAGGCTCTCATGAACAGGTTTCACTTGCCTTTCTGGTGACAAGACTGTCCTGACAATCACCTGGGACTTAACACACGTCTTAGCAAGTGACCTTTACTGTGGCCACCACTACCAGGCACCAAGAGAAGGTGCCAGCCAGCCCGGGGGCTCCCAGCACCCCACTTACGGCCTGAGCCTTCCACACTCCAGCCCAGCCCCCTGCAGAAGCACCGCTGAGCCCGCACCCTCCCCCCCCCACCCCAGCCGCCCCCAGCAGCATGAGGCCCACGGCTCTGAGGCCCAACCCTGGAAACAGACACGCAGAGCAGCCCAGGCAGTGGCCCGGGGGGCTCTGGGCCCTTCTCAGCCTCTCTGGTCCCTCGGGCCCTACTGCCATGTTCCAGACTGCCTCCTGGGGCCCTGCTGCGCTTCTTGAGAACACAAGCTCGGGATGCCCCTGCGGGACTCAGTCTCCGCGGAAGCCCGTGCTGGGGTGGTGTCAACCAGTGTGGTCTCGTCCCTGGGTGTCCATCCCTGCGCACTCTGTTCTTGCCCTAACTGGGAGGTCCCACTGCCCTGACGGGCAGTGCCAGCGGCCGCGAGTTCCCTTGCTTGGGCCAGAAGGTGGGATCCGCGTGGCTTCCGAGGACCCCACCCGAAGAGATTCACCTGCCAGCTGCCCTTTTTCTCTAAAAGCAGCCTGCCCGTGTGAGTCCTGCTGCCGCGGATGCCCCTGAAAGGCGCAGACCCAGCCTGCTCGCTGGCGCCTGAGGCGGCCGTGAGCTCCCCTTAGGAACGATCTGAGCTTTGTCTGACTCTCCTCCCACTTCGGAGGATACTGGGGAGGAACTGGGGGTGGGGCTGGCCGAGACCCCGCATCAGGCATTTCCCCAGCTCCTCTTGTATTCTAATGTTAAATCGTTTGGCAAAGTGTATTTTAATAAGTGCCGCCTACCTTTTTCTCTCTGTGTTCTGTCTGAAAGGTTCCTATCTGGATAAAGTTGACTTTTGAAATTCTAAAATAGTCCTGTGCTTTGTTGGAGCCCCAGGGACCCCTTTCCGCGGGAGCCCTGCCCCTCCGCGCCGTGCGCCTGCAGAGCGTGGGGTCCCCCGTCTCCTGGGGCAGTTCCTGTGGGGGGAGACAGCATCTCCCTTAACCCCCCACCCCCGCTCCCCTCCCCACCAGGCCCAAGCGGTCATCTCCCCTCAGACTTTTCTAGCAGGAAGTGGGTGACGGAGCCGCAGAGCAGAGAGAAGCCCTGCTCTGAACCCTGTGACCTGGTCCTCACTACGCCTGGGAGGCTGCCGCACAGCCACAGGGCCGGGGCCACGCAGATGAGAACCCCTCCAGCGCGTGCTGTCTTTGCTGGGGTGTGGGAGCTCCCTGTGCTCCAGGCATCCTTGCAGGCCTGGGACTCTCATCCTCGTTTAGGGGACATCCTCGGCAGCTGGCCATCAGACGGTCTGCAAACACTTCTCAGTCCGTCTCTTCGCTGGCCTGGGGCCTGTTTTCAGCCTTACTTCTGACCATCGCAATAGGGAGCAGCATGGGCATTCCCGGCTTTTCGTGCCCAGAGGACCCGCCAGGGCAGGGTTTTTACCCATGGTGCAGGGAGCTATGCCCAAAGCACGTGCTTTTTAAAATGACAAGTGAAAGGCCCTCTCACTGACCTCCCTCTGCCCATCCTGCCGGCCCTGCTCTGGGTTTCGGAGTCCTGGCACACCTCAGGGTTCAGAATCTGCAGTGGGGGGGATGGGGGGTGGGGGGAGGCGGTGGCGGGTGCCCGGAGGGAGGCCTGGCCTGGAAAGCCTCCTCGGATTACAGCTGATAGGTGAGTGGAGCCCTAGATACTGCGGCGGCGGGGACAGACTCCACTCGCGGGCTCTGTCCTAGATTCTCTGTGCCCTGCTCTCGGATCCTCCGAGGTGCTCCCCGTGCAGCCCTCCCTCCTGCCTGCACACCTGAGAGCCCCTGCCGGGTATCGGCCACGGGGCCGACAAGCTGGCATCGAGGGCCTCCTGGCCCATCTGAAGGTGCCTGCAACCAGATGCCGAGGCTGGAGGAGGAGGCCTGTTCTGTCCCAGTGGACAGGACTGAGCTGGCCCGAAGCGGCAGCTGTCTCGTCAGAAGTCACTTGGACCCCCCTGGGTGGGCGCGTTTGGTGTATCAGATTGTCTTGAAGCCTGTATTTCTGTGCTGAGTAAGCTCGAGGCGTAAGGTACAGACAGGCAGCAGGGCCTGGGGACCAGGCGTGGAGGTGAGGCTGCCCATCTCCACAGGAGGGTGCCTCTGAGGTACCAGCAGGGCTGCCCAGGGTCTGCCTGGGAGCGAGGTGGGCCAAGAGGTCTGCGGGAGGGACAGCAGAGCACAGGCAGGCCCCAGAAGCCCTCGCCCGGCGGGGCCTGAGTGTGTGCGGCCACGAGGGCAGATGTCCGGAGGGCCAGGCGACCATGCAGCGGTGTGGTCATGTGGCCACGTGGTCAGACAGCCGCGGGGCCGGGCTGCCATGCGGCTCTGTGGTCAGGTGATCAGACAGGCCAGCAGCCACATGGCCAGCGCTCACTCAGCCACACAGGCCGAGGGTGAGTGTTCCCGAGGGAGGCCCAGCAGGCTTTTGTGTCCCCTGCTGTAGGGGTGCCATGGGCAGCCAGGTGACACGTCCCTCCATGCTGGGGCTAAGCTGCAGAGGGAAGGCCTGGTGGGGACCACCTGGCTGTGCCGACCCTGGGCCCTCGCTCCCTCCCGCCCTCTCCTCAGTCTGGGACCATCTGGGAGCCTCCGTACCTGGCATCCCTCTGTCCCCCTGGTCTCTGCTGGGCTCTTGCTGTTCGGGGCTCCTCGCAGAGTCTCTCCGGGCCCCCGTTGTCATCGCCCGCTCTGTCCTCTGCATCTCAGCAGCCACTGCTCTTCTGCTCCTGACGTCGGTGTCTGGCATCCACGCTGGCCTGTGTGACACCTACATGCTGTCTACACAAATCAGCGTGAGGGCCCACAGGAGCAGCGGGGGCTGGCCTTGGGCACCGCGTGTTCTAATCAACGTGCACGAAGAACGGATGGGTGGAGGGAGAGATTGGACAGGGCAGCAGGCCTTGGTCCTGTGGTTCTTCCCACATAGATCCGCTCTCCCAGCCTCATCTTCAGAGGCCACTAGGGAGACGGGAGAGGTTGGGGGCGTGGGGACTCAGGGGTCTGTCCAGGGCCTCAGGGGAACCAGAGGTTGGGGTGGGGATAGCTGGCAGAGCTTGACCTGCAGCGGCACGGAGGGGCCCCACCTGGGCGTGCCGTCCACCGAGACGGGCTCGGGAACGTCTGGCCTAAGGTTTCTGCAGCCTGGCCAGCCCGGGGCCCACATGGTGGAGAAGGGACCTGCCGTGAGGTGAGGGGTCAGCAGGGTCCCAGCATAGAGCACGCGGATGCACTTGAAGCAGTTTGTCCTGTTTTCCTTTTATTTGCAGTTTCCCGAGACAGAACAAAATAATAATTTTGTACACTTACAAGGCTCAGAAAGAAAAGACAATGAAACTCAGCAAAAAGAGAGAAGAGGAAAGGCCGGCCAGCACCGCAGGCAGCCGACCCTCTGCAGGGCAGGCTGGCCGACACTGCCACACCGCGGACATCTAGCTAGAAGAGCGGGTGTGGCTTGCTCATGAGGGGTCATGCAAAAGAACTATCCCCCAGAAAAAAAACCCCAAATTATCCCAGACAGGCAGCTCCGTGGAGAGAAGGGGTAGAGGAGGGGAGGAGGCCCAAGGAGGCGAGGTTGGCCGGGCCACACGCTGTCCACGGCGGGCCCTGCCACTGCCCGAGGCCCAGGGAGCCTGGCAGGTGTTTACCCCGCGTCCGTGGGTGGGGACAGCTGTCCTGAGCACAGCCGCGGACGGGCAGGCGAGCGTCCACTCTGAGTGTCTGTCGATGGACAGTCCCCTTGGAGACCAGCATCCTGTGTCCTGTTCCCCACTCCAGGCCCCTCCCTTGGCTTGATTGGGGGGGAAGATAAAGAAAATCCGTGTTGAAAACAACATGAGTGGAAGAGGGCAGGTACTGGGGCAGGGGGTCCTGCACCTCTGCGATCACGGCCCCTGCACCCCCCCAACCACAGCCCAGCGGGCCAGCTCAGACCCGCTCGCACACCCAGACGACGGCCCTTGACTCTCTCGCCGCCCCCTGGCCACGTGGCCCATCCCGGAGGCTCCCCACAGTGCCCGCCAGCACGCAGGGGGACCCCAGGTGAGCCCAGCCCGCCTTCTCCCAACCCCGGGGGTCCCTGTCACACGCAGCCCCGTGCGGCCCTCCGCTCCCTGCTGCCCTGGGCCCAGACTCCGAAAGCGCAGCTTCCTTCAGCGAACACCTGCTTGGACTCTGCCTCGGCCTGGGAGCCAAAGGCACCCACCCGCCTCTGACCCCTCTCTCCTTCCTGCCCCACACCCACACGGGGGGAGGGGGGAGGGGGCAAAGAGGGAGAGGTGCCTGAACAGAAGGGAGGCCAGCCCCGGGGTCCCCTGCACACTGGGCCGCAGCCAGCAGCATCCTCTCGGCATGTCTCTTGCCAGGCATGAGGTCTGAAAGTAAGGGGTGACCCCCCTACACCCCCTGCCCGACCCAGTGCACCTCCCTGGCCCCAACGGGGCCAGAGCTGGAGCCCTGGGCCCGCCGGGCCTTCTCCGAGGGCTCCGCATCCTCCCAGAGGGGCTGGCCCAGCCTCTGCACTGCTCACCCATGCCAGGGACACCGGGAGCTCGCACCTGCGCCTCCCCGGGGAGGACAGGAGGGAAGGGAAGCAGGAGGGAGGACAGCCATGCTCAGCCCCCCCAGCCCCTCCCCAGACGACACCTGACACTCCTGACAAGGAGCCATGCGCGGCAGGGAGGATGCAGACGCGTGGGGGTGGGCGCCACCTAGCAAACACCGTTCCTTGGGTGGCAGGCCCCTGCGGACAAGTTCACTGCCCCGGCCGGTCCCCGGAGGAGGCCAGGAGCAGACGGACACGTGGAGCTTAGGCGGGGAGCAGCCAGAAGGTTCGAAGCCCCACAAACGCCAGGGCTTTTTACAGCTTTTTCCCTTGTTTCGTTTTTTTTCCATTTCATCCGACATCAATTTTGTGTGTGCGGTTGTCGTCTTGTTTTTAAAAAGAAATCACATCTGGTCTTGGTTTTCTGCAGACACAGGCACCAGGGGAGGAACGAGGCAGACACAAACATGCGACAGGCAGGCCGTGCGCCCGAGGGCAGCTGGGCTCCAAACACCGAGTCTGTCCCGTGAAACCAGCCGCGGCAGCTCTGAAACGGGGCGGACCGAGGGCGGGCAGGTCAGCGTCCGGCGGCCGCTCTCCGTCTGACACGGGTTTGGCGTCTGCAAGGTGGGCGCCTGCGAGGCCGCCCGGCGAGGAGCCTGGAGGCCCTGACCCGGCGCCCCTGCCCCCCTAACACCACGCTGGCCTCCCCACCGCTCTCCGCAGCCCCGCCCGGGCGGCGCTCTCCTCCCCCCAGGGCGCTCACCTTCACTGCAGCGGGGCCACGGGCGCCCCCGAGCAGTGGAAGTGCACGTTCTGCCACTTGCCGTCTCGGCGGTGCCACACGCGGGTCTCCTCGGACTGGCTGGTGCGGGGCCGGCCCTGCCCGTCGATGTACTGCGTGAGGCGGATGTAGGCGATGCACGCGGCGTCCTCGCCGATGACGTGCACGTGCGGGTTCAGGATCGTCGTGTGGATCGGCTTGCTGTTCTTGGCGAGTACTGTGGGCGGGGCAGGGGCTTGGCACCGCGCCGCCGGCCCAGCCCCCTACGAGCGCCGGCCCGGCCACCCCTCCCCCTCCGGCGGGACTAGGACGGGACAGGGCTTCCCTGCGCGCCCGGCTGGGGGCCCGCGGGCTCCCCGGGGGTGCCGCCCTCTTCCTGCCGCCGCCCCGCACTCACAGTTCTCGAAGTAGAATCTGTGGAAGTCCATCCCTTCAACCAGGTTGCCCAGGGCTTCGGGCTCAAACGAGGTCAGGCCTGGGTCGCAGATTTTCCTGGGGGGCAGACCCAGGTGAGGAGGGGCCCCTCAGAACCCGCCCCGTCCGTCCACCCCCCTCCCACCCCGCAGCCCCAGGATGGGCCCAGGAGCCCTGACTCACGCATAGGCCTCAAAGTCACCGTTGTTGACGGCCTCGATGAGCTGCTCCGTGATCTTGATGATCTCCTGCTTCCGCGCTGTGGGGGACAGCCGCCCAGTGACCCGTGAGCCACTCCCCTACAGCCCCGGGGGGGGGGGTCCCGCGCAGAGCACCCCCCGCCCCCTCCCCCTCCCCCTCCAGGAGGGACCCCGAGGCTGCCCGGCTTAGACTGCTCCCTTCAGGGACACCAACGGGGTCCCCATTTCAAAGTCCAACAAGCCTCTGTCTTATTTGTCTTAAATACAACATCCCTGAACGACGGAAATACTCCATCCAGAGTACAAAAGGTCTGGAAGAGGCAGGAAGGGGAAGCCAAGCCTGCCACGCCCCAGTCCTTCCGGCTGTATCCCCTGGGCCCTCCGCAGCTGCAACACTGTGACCAGCCTTCCCAGCTCCTGCCCGCCCCCCACCACGGACATTGCTCTCATAGGCCTTCTTGGGGAGGCAGCTGTCTACTAAGGGCGGGCTCACGAAGCAGGCAGGGGATTGAAGACTGCAGGGCCAGGCCTCAGCGCAAAGGCCAGGGAGCCGGGCCCAGGGGAAGGCAGAGTGCGGGCCTCACTGCCTTCTCTCCCTGGAAGGCCGCAGGCTGCCGCCTGGCCTTCCACCTCCTCCAGCCTCCACCTGTCTGCGGTCCTGGGACCCCAGGCCAGTCCTCTGGCATCACCTTTCCATCCTGCACCCTCTACCTGAGGCCCTGCGCCAGCAGCTTTCTCCAGGTTCCTGCCCACTTGACCTCTGGTCCTGGACAGACCCAGTCCCCCGGGTGCGCACCTGGGGGCTCCTTTATCTCTTTAACTACCATTTATTTTCAGGCAAAACATTTTAAACACATGGAAGAAGCAGAAAGAATAATATAGCCCACAGCCTGCTGATTCAAATCTGAACCATTTTCATATTTGCTTTAGATTTCTTTTCAAGAAATAAAACCTTCCAGATAAAGATGCAGATGCCTGTGTTCCCCTGAATCTTGTTGTTCGCTCACCCTCCCCAGAGAAGTACCATCCTGAGGTGCTTAACCACTTCTGTGCAGATACAGAAACACCCAAAGGCACACAGGAAATACACACGAGTGTGCACACAGGCACAGACGCATCCACACGTGGTGATCTCCTAAAGCAGTGATAACATGCCAGTGATAAAACTCAGACCCAAGAAGGCCACCAAAAGCACGACCCCAGGAGCTCTGTCCCCCCGTTCCCTCCCCGGTCACGGCCACACCAGTTACGCATGTCTGCGCACTCCCAGCATGGGTACTGGTGTCCCCCCTGCTCCCAGCAGCACATCGGGACCACAGACTCTCTGCACGGCCACTCCTGTGGGATGGGCATCCCCACTCAACCAGGCCTAGTGATGGGCATCTGTAGGTCTCCAGTCTTCAGCTGGCAGAGCAGCCGGGACCAGGACACACGTGAGTTGATCTGCAGGCTACATTCCCAGAGCGCGGGTTGCCAGCTCCAAAAAGGTGCAGTTAGCATTTTGAAGCATGTGCCCACGGCCCTCCCATCAGCACCTTCGGCTGTCTGGGCGCTCACTTTCCCAGGCACCCAGCTAGGAAGCGGACAGAGTCCATGGTAGAAGATGCTGCCTGCTGCGTGCGAGCCCAGGCGTGCCCGTGTCTGAGCTGGGAGCCTGGGTCGTGTCGCACCAGCTCTGGACAGTGGCTGCAGGGTGAGCTCCATGACACCCAAGGGTGTCATGGTTGAGCGCATGCATGAGCATATGTGTATGTGTGTGTGCACCTTCGTGCACACGTGCGCAGGTGAGAGAGTGGGCATGTGGGCATGCGTGTGTGTGTGTGTGTGTGTGTGTGTGTGTGTGTTTGTGCACACCAACCCGCAAGCATGCGTGGGCTTCCGCTATATAAAAGAGATGCTCTCTCTGGACCCGGCGGCGCTTCTGCCGCCGAACTCCGTGTCTGGACTACAGCAGGGTTTGGGCTTAAGGCTGTCTCTGCAGAACCCGAGCCCCACCTTGTCTGGTCAGCCCTGGAAGCTGGCCTCCAGGAGGCAGGCTGTGGGCCCAGCTGTCCTGATGCCCCACGTCCACCTGCAGAGCTCGGTCCCAACACAGCACGTGCAGGCCGGCCTCTGTCCTCACCCTCTGGGTATTCCACACCTCCACCCACACACCGCGCCCTCCCTCGCCCATCCCATCACACTTCGTCTCCCCTCTCAGGGCTTCCCCCGCAGCCTGCCCACCTCTCCACCTTCTGCCTGGGCGTTTCGCAATTCTGGGCAACCCTCTCTCCTCTGGGACCTCATCCACCCCCATCCCCAGTTCACCTGTCACCTCTGCGGAGGTGGCCTCGAGCTTCAGGCTCTGATCTCCCCCCAGTGCAGCCTAGCTCCCCCACCAGACCCCGCCCAGAGGGGGGGCAACACCCAGCCCCTGCCACTTCCGTCCCTGCCCAGGGCGGTCTGTCACCCGGGACCTCGCCGCCTCCCGCCTGTGGCACCAGGTCCAGCCCCTGCTCAGGAGCCCCCACCTCCCACCTGCGATTTACTCTGTCAGCTCCAGGCCATCCTGCTGATCTCGCCAAGGGGACGTCTACGCACCCCGACACCCCGACACTTGTCAACCCCCCTTCTTCACAAACGTCGTGAGCCGCCCCCGCCCCATGTGAGCCCTTAGCCAACAGCCTTGCAGCTGGAATTGAGTGACCTTTTCTGTTTTGTTTCCCGTGCACTCTGATTTTACAGTCACCCTACTGCACTGTGGCGAGCTGAATCTTCCACTTAATGAAGTAATATTGAGCATTTTTAAACAAAGCGTAATTAAAAATGGAGTCAGTGTAAAGAGAAAGAATTAAGTAAATAGAAACCTAGGGTCGCAGCACACATTGCAAAGTCTGAAGTTTAGGAAACAGCCACCACGTCCATTCTGCAGATGGGAAAGCTGAGGCCACACGAGCCCAGTCACAGCCCAGGAGTGGGCTGGACGCTCCTGACCCTCGGAGGGGCTGCCGCCCACGTCTAACCCCACGCTGCGGAGCAATCCTTCCTCCCCCCAAGTGGCATGCTGCGCGAAGGGACTCCTGGGGGCGGGGGTGAGGCTTGTTATTGAGGACAAGCCCCCCCCACCAGACAACTCCGGGGACGGAGCTGAGGTCTGGCTTGAAGTGCAGCCCCCATGTCCCCTCCGGCTCTCCTGGGGTGAGCTAACAGGCCAGGGAGGCCCGGCCACCGGCAAAGGGTCCGGGGGTACCCCAGTGACCCCAGGTTGACCCCAAGGCCTGTCTCTCGGCAGCTGCAGGGGTGCCAGGATGCCCCCAGCCACCCCAGGGAGGCAGCTGCACAGGATCAGCCTGGATTGTGCGTAATCCCTGATCATGGAGAACACGGCCCCGGCCAGTGGGCACCGACCCCATTTACACACTGAGACAGCTGGCGGGGACGTTCCCGGGAAAAGAGGGTACCCACAACCCAGCCCAGGGATGGCCCTCTGCAGCCCGGGCCTCGGGGCCGTGAGGGGCCGAACCCTGGTCCCAGAGCTGGAGAGGGGGCACCCCGGCTCTGGCACTCAGCCCACTGAGCGCCATAACTCACCCCACAACGGCCCCTCAGAAGTCCCTTCTCCGGGCCGGCCCCACCCACGTTCCTTCACCCGAGGACCCTCACACAGGCCTATGGAGCTGGGATGCTGGGAACTCCAGGTGAGAGGAGGGTGCACATCCAACCACGAGGACCCCTCTCCCTGAGGGAGACTGATGGGGCCCCCCGCCCCCGGTGCCCCCGGTGCCCCCCAGGGCTTTGCATCTTCCCCTTCCCTGCACCCTGCAGGCCCGGCCACCCTCCATCCAGTGCTGGTCACAGCACCTTCTGTGGCCACACCCCCCGGAGTCAAGCTCAGGACAGACCCCTAAAGGGGCAAGCCAGTGCCGTGGGCCCCCCAGGTCAGCCTGGGGTGCTCAGCACCCGTGGCATGCCCTGTCCTCAGAGGTCCCCACCTGGCCCGCGCACGTTCCTAGGGTGGGTTGCAGCCCTGGGCCGAGGTCACGCTGCAGGTGGCCCCCTTGGGCACAGCCCTCCGCATCTCCTCCCCTCATCGTTCTCATCTGTGAAAGGAGGGGCTGCAAGGATCCCAGAGATGGGGACGTGGTGGCCTCTAGACTCGGATAGGATGCCGCACAAATGGGGACGGGGATCGGCCCCCTCCCACAGGCTCCGCTGTGCGCCCGCCTGCAAGACCCTGTCCCTCACCTCGGACACTCGCCTCCACGCCCCTCAGGCAAGCCCGGATTCAGGCCACAGTATTCAGGCCTCCGTGCCTGCCCGACTGCTCCCAGGGCCTCCCTCCCCGCTCCCTCCTCTCGGCCAGGCCCCTGGGGGTGGCCCGCAGCAGGTGGGCGGGGGTCAGCACCCTCCCGGCCCGGCACTCACCCAGCCTCTCCCCCGCCATGCCCGGCCCCCGGCCCCGCAGCCTCTCCTCTGAGAGCCCGGTGTCTCCCCGGAGGTGGGGATGGCTGCCGCCCTGGGGTGTCATCCATCCCTGTAAGCGATACTGGCGGGCGGGCGGCAGACGGGCTGCGGCGGCTCCTCCCTCCCTGGGGAGGTGGCCCAGCCCAGCGCCCGCCCGGCCGGGCCCCCACCCCTAGCATCACTGGCGGGGGCGTAACCCCAGGCACCACCCGGCCGGCGCCGTCCCATCCTCGCTGCGGAAGAAACCCGCAGACTGCAGACCCTGGGAGCGTGTGGCTCTAGATCACGGGAAACTGCTTCCTGGTTCTCTTCGCACACGTGCATGTCTTTAGCCAAACGGCAGCTCCGTGTGGAATTCCCTGCACTCCACGTCCCCCTACCCCCGAGCCGGCCCCTCCCCAGAGCCAGGGGGCGGCGCACCGCAGCCAGGGGTCTCCACACCCCTGTGAGCCCCCAGGAGCAGCCAGCAGGGCCACTCAAGGTGCTACTTACACAGGGTGGGTGGGGAGCCTGGGAGAGCCGGAGGAGGGCAGGGTGGGGGGCCCTGGGCTTCTGGGGTCCCCGAACCCCTCCTCACCGTGTTCAGGATGTCAGAGATCCTGAGGGCTGGGGCGGAACAGACGAGACGTGAACACGAGAAACACGAGGCAGGCGGGAAACACACAGAAGACAAAACCTATGAGCTGGTGAGCCAAAGCCAGAGAGTGGGGGGACGGGGGGGTCACGAGGGGACATGGGGGATGGAGGGGGACAGAGGGGGGACATGGGG